CAACGTGGTTTGCCCCCCACCAAGAAGCCAGCTAAGCACAGAGAAGGTTTTACATTCCAGTCTGGTGCTGGGGACCACGCCGGACAGAAATGCAGTACTTAATCTGTATGTACGTACTCAAGTCGCAGCCAATTTATGGTGACCTCAGCTAGGGGCTTTCCAGGCAAGTGAGCAGCAGAGGTGGGTTGCCGCTGCCTTCCTCTGCAGAGGTTTCCTTGGGGGTCCCCCATCCAAGTACCGACCCTGCTTCGCTTCCGAGATTGGCTACACTATATGCCACTGTAGCCAAGTGTCATTTAAAGAGGAAGCAAAGAAAGTTAGAACGGCAGTGGACTGAGAGTAAGAAGCCTAGTTTTGCACAGGCAATTAAGTTTAAGGCTGCATCTGAGCAAAACCGGCTTATGTGGAAGTGTCGTGAATTAAAAGATTATATGGGTTATAAAAACCTATGAATGGGCTTCTCAGAATCCTTACTTGTTACTCCTCTCTCTCCAGCCTCGTCCTTACAACTGCCCACGGCCTCCTGCTCTGCCCGCCTCTCTCACCCTCTGTCTTTCCTCTGCCAACCTGTTCTCTTCCTTCTTCATTGGCCAACAAGTCTCTTCATCCAGGATTCAAGAACCAAGAGCTAAAGTCCCCCCATTCACTCTGAAGGGACATTCATTCGGACAGAAACAACATGTATGCATTTAAGCGGAAGAGCATTCACAAGTTACGATGAGCAGGACACCCCTCTGTAGCCGTGTGCAGGGCGGCAGAGCAGAACAGCTGGCCCTGCTTTGCCCCAGTGCTGGTAAAATCCCCTCCACTGATTGGAGGAATTCCTTTTGCAACTGAAGAAGAAGAGTTGGTTTTATATCCCGGCTCTTCACTACCCGAAGGAGTCTCGGAGTGGCTTACAATCTCCCTCCCTTCCTCTCCTCACAACAGACACCCTGTGAGGTAGGTGGGGCTGAGAGAGCTCTTGACAGAAACTGCTCTTGAGAGAACAGCTCTGAGAGGACTGTGACTGACCCAAGGTCACCCAGCTGGCTGCATGTGGAGGAGTGGGGAATCAAACACGGTTCTCCAGATCAGAGTCCGCCGCTCTTAACCACGACACCAAGCTGGCTCTCACACCAAGTTGTGTGCTGCTTTGTTCGGGATCCCGTTTCACAGACTGGGAAAGCCCTGAGTGTGTTTTGTGCTCAGAAAAGCTTCCTCGAGCAGAAATGCCGGTTCTAGTGCTCCGAGTCTGATAATGGAGCGAGAAGGTTTTTTTAGTTTACCTCTGCGTCGTAGCGGACGGCTGCAGACAGCAGCGAAAAGGCGTTCTCTACTGTGATCCCTCTTTTGATAAGATGCTGACACAGTTTCTTCAGCCTGTTCTCGCAATAGGAAGTAGCCAGGTCCAGAAGCCCTGAAAACGAGAGGCCGTGGTCAGTTGCCCGTCTTCCTGCCTCTGAAGTGCCACAGCACAGTTCCCATCACACTGGCTTTGCAGCACGGAGGAGGCAGGTGTGAGCAGGAGAGAGGTCGAGGGAGGCACAGCCCTCCGAATGCCAACGGAAAGGGCTGCCTGTACCCACGACCAACGGGCACAGGAATACTGCCAAACCAGGGGCTGCGGATCAGGGCGCTCTCTCTGCTGCAGACTCTCTCTCTCTCGGTTATTAGAGAGTCAACATGGAATGTTTCCTTCAAGAGCTGATAAGTAGAAATTGATAAGAACTATGGTTGCTACACGATCAGATAAAGCAATTACTGTGAAACGAATTGTTTACATTGCGCAGCATTCGTTGCGTGTGAGCGGTAATAGAAGAGAATTGTCTACAGAATCACTACAGTAAATGATTTTGCAAACGTATCTTTAATGACTCTTCATTATTTTTGTCACGGATGTTGTTTTTTGGATTTCTACAAACTCCCGGTGGTGGCTGGAGATCTCCTGGGATTGCAACTGATCTCCAGTCAACAGAGATCATTTCCCCTGGAGAAAACGGCTGCTACAGAAGGTGGACTCTGTGGCATTATACCCCTTCCCAAACCCTGTCCTACTGAGGCTCCACTCCCAAAATTTCCAGGTAGTTCCCAACCTGGAGCTGGCAACCCAGATCACAGACTTAAGCTGAAGTGAGCTGCCCTACCGCCCCCCACCCCGCCCCCGGCCCCAAGCCAGGCTGAACTGACGCCTGCCACTGAAAAGGGCAGATCAGTTGGGCTTGGAAGATAGAAGGGCAGCTTTAAGTGCCCCCACCAGGTTTCTTCTTTAAAAAACTTTTATTTATCCTTTTTCCAAATTAATTACAAACATCCTTTCTTCAAATAACTTGAGTCCGAACTAAGCTTACATACGTTCATTCATTTATACATTTAAATCTGAATTCCCCCAAATTTCATGAATCCGTTTATGTACGCTTTCCCATCTTTTCTTAAACACACTTCCATCTTTCCCTTGAAGGCTTCTAGTTAGTTTATCCATATCTGCTACTTCCATCAATTTAAATATTATTTCCTCTCTTGTTGGGAATTTATCTCTTTTCCAACGTTTAGCCATTAATACTCTGGCCGTGGTCCACGAGGGAGGCTGTGTGTGAGGAGCTCCCCCCACCAGGTTTCTTGATGCCCATGATCTGTGCATCATGGACTGGGGGCTGAAAAGTCAGCAGCTCTATCCAAGTACCACAGAGCTGCGAAGATACCAAATATTTCCATGGGGCCCTCTTCCTTCCTTCCCCAGGGTAACAGACAGACCAAAAACAAGTTCCACGTCACATCGGGTGGATGCTAACACGATGATCTGAAGTGCCCCGCGGGGCAGAACGCCACTGGGGGAGAGTGCCAGGATTGCCAATTCCATGTTGTGAAACTCCTAAACATTTGGGGGGGGGGGAGAGAGCTCAGCAGGGACGTGATGCCACCGATTCTACCCTCCAAAGCTGCCGTTTCCTCCAGGATAGTAAAAAGCCCAGTGCATGTTTAAGACTAACAAACTTTATTGTGGCATAAGCTTTCGGGAAACACAGCTCTCTTCACAGAAGAGAGCTGTGTTTCTCGAAAGCTTATGCCACAATAGTTAGTCTTAAAGGTGGCACTGGGCTTTTTACCAGTTTGCAGGAACAGACTGACACGGCTAAACTCCTCTGGATCTATTTCCTCCGGGGGAGCTGATCTCTGTGGCCTGGGGATCAGCCACAATTCTGGGAGGTCTCCGGGCCCCACTGGGAGGTTGGCAACCCTCGGGTGTGCCCCCCCCTTCCCACAAGCAACCCTGCTCCACGCGTCAGCTTTTAGAAAATGTAGTAAAGTTTTTTTTAGGACAAGCGATAGGGGGGAAGAAAGCAAAAAATACCTTCAAGCTGGTGTAAGTGAAATGGGAGCTATAAGCAAGTGCAGAAGTTCCTCCCTCTTGACTGCCTGAGTCAGCCTGTTAAGCTACCACCAAATTGACTGAGGTCCAGTGATTAGTTATCGTTGACAGCTGTAAATGCTTGGGGAGGAAACACCAAGCTCTCACGAGCCCACTCCCCGGGTTGGGGCTGGGGGACGCTTTGCGGAGCGCCACTGAAACGCTCTCACTTCAGCTTTGTTACTAAGGCAAGCGCGCTCCAGCTGCTTGTATAAACTGTCTCTAATGTTGGTTTCATTCTTAATTCCTATTTACTGCTAAATTCTTATTTATTTATTTATTTTATTTATATGGCAGGCTCAGGGCGACTAACAACATCGGTATAAATATACATTAAAACTCCCATTGTTATTTTAGTTACGACTCTTGTCCTGTGACTCAGGCCTTCTAGGGGAATGCTAATTCTATTGTTGTTGTTGTTGTTGTTATTGGTCTTGTTGTTGCTGTTGTTGTTGTTGCTTCCAATTTCTATCCCGCCCTCCCAACAAGCAGGCTCAGGGTGGGTTACAGAGTCAATTCTGAGTGGCCGCTCAAGCATCTGAAAGGGAGCAACCCTAAGTGGCAAGTGATACTTCCGTACATACCTATAGCGTCTTCAGGTGACAGATCGACACTGTCTGTATACAGGTACTCAAGAAAGGCACGGTACACTGGGTAGGAAAACTGGTCTATTTCTATGACCTCCTTCATGTCTTCATTCCAGTAAGACTGGAACATGGTACGGAAGTGCTCGCACCTGCAATGGGAAGGCGTGAAAAGGGTGGGACGTCAGGCTAGCTAACGACTCCAGATTCTGCACAAGCGTATACTTAAGGTCACCAGGAAACAGAAGGAGCGCTTGCAAGGATTTATCATGGCTTGTACTGGTTCACTGGTGTTGAGGCAAGCCCCTTCAACAAGTGCAACCAGGCAATAATCCACTGGGGGGAGAAGAGATTGGATTTGTACCCCGCCCTTCACTCGGAGTCTCAGAGCAGTTTACAATCTCCTTTCTCTTCCTCCCCCCGCAACAGACACCCTGTGAGGTAGGTGGGGCTGAGAGAGCTCTCTTGAGAACTGCCCTTGAGAGAACAGCTCTGAGAGCTCTTGTGACTGACCCAAGGTCACACCAGCAGCTGCATGTGGAGGAGTGGGGAATCAAACCCAGTTCTCCCAGATTAGAGCCTATGCTCTTAACCACTACACCAAACTGGCTCTTTACCTAATCAGCTGGGATATACAAACCCCAGACATTCTCCTTCGCATCTGCTGGCCCCCTTCCCAGCCCAGGGCTGGATTTCCAAAGCCCCACCTGCACACAGCGGATGACTCAGTCGGAACCCCCCCCCGCCCCCCACCAAACAGCTTGCAGAGGGCTGATAGCCTCCTCCACTGCCTTAGTCAGTGTGATGTAGTGGTTAAGAGCCACGGGACTCTAATCTGGAGAACCGGGTTTGATTCCCCACTCCTCCACATGAAGGCCGGCTGGGTGACCTTGGGTCAGTCACGGTTCTCTCAGAGCTCTCTCAGCCCCACCTACCTCACAAGGTGCCTGTTGTGGGGAAGGGAAGGGAAGGAGATTGTAATCCACTTTGAGACTACTTAGGGTAGAGAAAAGTGGGGTATAAAAACCAACTCTTCTCTTCTTCTTCTCAGCCTACCCGTGGTGTCACGTAATTACTGTGTGCTTGCTAGCCCTAACTGCTGGGACTGCCCTGGCAACTGAGGTCAGTGTCTGCCCCACCTCCCCACCCCTCTAAATATCCACGCCCCACAAAACAGCCACGGATGTCATTTATTGTTTTTCAGAGCCATCCTATCCAGCCCATTGTAGACGGGTCCGCTGAGGACTCCCCAACCCAAACGGTACCGGATTTTCAGAACGGCTTTGTGCACGTAGATGAATTTCCCATCGACTCTGAACTTCAGGTCCGAGGTTTCTGGACTGTCGAACTCTCTCTTCAGAGACTCCGCCACTGTTAAGTAGTCCTCATGCTCTGCGAAGATAAAACATCGTCCTCTTAATATTTACACATGGTCCACCCGCAAAGGGACTCGATGCTCAACCACCACCACATCTGGCGGCTCCAAAATAGCACATTCGTCCCTGCTCCCCAAGCGAAGAACCTGACTGGTGATCTAAGTATATACACAGGGGAGGAGGAAAGATCCATTTCCACAGCGAGTTCTTCAAGCAAAGGACACCATGGCAAGAAACTCCTTTCAAACTGGACGCCCTCTACAACATCCTTCCAAGACGGACACCTTGTCTAGCCTATGAGGGATCAGTGGGCAGAGGGAGGGACTTCCCTTGATATTCCCAACGCGCAATCCTCACCTAGCCCCTTCTGTGCTGTATCAACCACCCCCGACAGCTTTTGGGGTGAACGCCCAAGCTCAAAGCGCTGGATTTCAAAGGCATAAGCTAATCGAGTGCAAAGAAAAACAGACAGGGAGGTGGGAAGCTCTGATCCTGGATAGGCCAGGCAAGCCTGGTCTTGTCAGATCTCGGAAGCTAAGCAGGGCCAACCCTGGAACGTACTTGGAAGGGAGACCTCCAAGGAATACCTGGGCTGGGATGCGGAGGCAGGCAATAATAAGCCACCTCTCTAAGATATCCTAGCCCCACTAGGGGTCGCCAGAAGTCACTATGACTTCCAGGCTTGTGAGCACACAACACACACACACACACACACACACACATACAATACACACAAAATGCTCACCAAAAATAGTTTTAAAAACCACACACAAAAACAGGGAGGTGGGAAGATGGGGACAGTCTCAAAGGGAATGAGCAGAACTATGACACAGAACAGCCTCGTAACAATCAGCAGCCTCAAGCAGACCCCCCCCCTTTGGGGGGCACCCCCCACTGCCCTGAAAGCTCTCCTCCCCCCCCCCAGCCTGAGCCATGAGGACCAGACCTCTGCCATTTCCCTCTCACCTAATGAGAGAAGGCGCCACATCACAGCAGGAGTGGAAAAGCAGGCAAAGACGTCGTCGGTGCATGAGAAATGGGTGGTGTGCGGGAGAACCACCGACTGTCCCCGGCACTGGCCCCACATGTACACCTGGCCGCTCTGCGTCTTGGCGGCGGACGTGTGAGCCGAGTGGCAGGCCGCGATCTCGACGACCCTGCAAGAAAGGACGTTTCTGTCAATCAGCTGGATGACACCAGACATTGACCATGCAGGCCCTCTCACAAAGATTCTGCTAACGTAACAACCCACTGGTCTGTATCCTGTCGTCCCCCTGAACACAACTCCAACCTTCCTCCAGGCGAATGAACTTTCTTTCTTGCTTTTTTAAATAGCTTTTATATTATTATTGTTAGTTTAAATTAATATAGGGATAATCTTTTAACTTATTCGTAACAAGGACAATCAACGTCAGAGTAAATATAGGGCATTTAACATAGAGACATTTAAAATACATAGTAGTAGGAAGATTTTTATATATTGCATACAATTACTATTGAAGCTTAGCCTGTATTACCACTGGTTACTGCGTGAGCCTTTACCTCTCCTTCTCCACCATGATCTGCACGGGGCTCAGGTGGTTGCTCTTGTTGCCGTTCCCCAGTTGGCCGTAAGTGTTCGCCCCCCAGGTGTAAAGCAAACCCTCGTCCGTGAGCGCCAGCGTGTGCGCGTAGCCACAGGCAATCTGCAAAGGACGTTTTCCGGAAGAAGAAAAAACAACACACTGCTGTTCACTTTGCACCAAGCTGGACATCAAGCAAGCAAACGGGTGCAAGGAATCGAGGTCTCGTCATGTGCCAGAACAACATCCATAAAGCACATACAAGTTTTGTTTGTGAGCAACTGCAGATTTAGTACAACGTGGGCTCAACAACAACTGAGAAATCATTAGTGGCTGTAATTCTAAAAGCTCGCCAGTAGCCTTCTCTTAGAATTGCTGCTGCTCCTTTTGTTGTTGTTGTTCAGTTGCACAGTCGAGTCCGACACTTCACAACCCCATAGACCAGATCACGCCAGGCCCTCCTGTCTTCTGCCGTTTTCCGGAATCTGCTTAATTTCATGTTCGTTGCATCGGTGACACTGTCTAACCATCTCATCCTTTGCCGTCCCCATCTTCTTTGACATTCAATCTTTCCCAGCATCAGGGCCTTCTCCAGTGAGTGCTCCCTTCTCATCTGGTGGCCAAAGTATTTGCACTTCAGCTTCAGTATCTGGCCTTCCAGGGAACAGTCAGGGTTGATTTCTTTTAGGAATGCCAATTTAGCATTTTCACAGACTAGTTTATTCATTCGTATTTTATTCTGCCCTCTCTTCTTGAGCAATCTGGGTACGTTTTGCATGCTTAAAGAAATATTCATTTTATTAAATAATAATAATTCTCCTATGACGTTGTGTAGAACAGCCAGGAGATCCTAAGATTGTCTGGCAGGCAGAAGTTCTAGCTCTTTTAGCATTGTGCACCACTAGGGGGTGAGCTAGACTTGTTTCTAAGGCAAGAGACGTTTCAGAAGTGGTCTGCCATTGCCTGCCTCTGCCTCACAGCCCTGGGAAACCTTCCAAATACTAGCCAAGGCTGACCCTGCTTAGCTTCTGAGATCTGATGGGATCAGGCTAGCCTGGGCTATCTAGGTCAGGGCTATACTAAACAAAACAGAACTCTCACTTTGGCACTTCAGATTTTTATTATCCATAACTTTGTATGACTTAGAATCTGTTTCCTGTATTCATGCGGAAGAGTATCTGAATATTCATATAGACTTCATCGTTGCAACGTTTTGTGTCAGGAGCAAGGAATAAAACTACAAGTAAATCAAGAAGAAGAAGAAGAAGAAGAGATTGGATTTATACCCCGCCCTTCACTTGGGAGTCTCAGAGCGGCTTACAAACTCCTTTCCCTTCCCCTCCCCACAACAGACACCCTGTGAGGTGGGTGGGGCTGAGAGAACTCTGACACAAACTGCTCTTTTTCAAGGACAGCTGTGCCAGAGCTTGTGACTGACCCAAGGTCACATCAGCAGGTGCAAGTGGAGGAGTGGGGAATCAAACCCGGTTCTCCTAGATTAGAGTCCGCGCACTTAACCACTACACCAAACTGGCGTAAATCAACACACAGCGTTCTGTGTTTTATTGAGGAGTGTTTTTTTAAGTGTATACAATGCTCACAGTGCTTTTCTGTAGACAAGGATCTCTCAGTGCACTGAATCCCTTAACATCTGTGCTGCCATCAAACAACTCAACGTTTCCTTCCAGCGGCCTCCCAGAACCTAAGGAAGTTCTCCCATCCCACCCCAAGCTCCTGTGTGGATTAAACCTGCTGTTAGCTGTGACCTCAATAGAAGCAGAAGAAACAACCTGGGGCAAACAAACACATTACAGAAAACACAAGCAAACAAACATTATGATATGCTGGCTGACACATTGAGTAAAACATTTTACAACCGACTTATAAGAACATAAGATAAGCCAGTGTTGGATCAGGCCAATGGCCCATCCAGTCCAACACTCTGTCACACAGCGGCCAAAAATACCAGGGGCCATCAGGAGGTCCAGCAGTGGGGCCAGAGCACTAGAAGCCCTCCCACTGTTGCCCCCCCCCAAGCACCAAGAAGACAGAGCATCCCTTGCCCCAGACCCAGAGTTCCTATCTATACCTTGTGGCGAATAGCCACTGATGGACCTCTGCTCCACATGTTTATCCAATTCCCTCTTGAAGCCGTCCATGCTTGTAGCTGCCACCCCCTCCTGTGGCAGTGAATCCCATGTCACATTACAGGGAAATACATTATAATATTACACGAAGTCCATCCTCATGATGTTGCATCCTCATGATGTGACTACGAGCACCTGGATGTAAACTCGTTTCGTCAAAATCTTCCTCAGGAGTATTCCTATTGTCTTCAAAGTTAACAGAATACTCCTCAGGAAGACTTTGACGACATGAGCTTACATCTGGGTGCTTGTAGTTACATCATAAGGATGTAACATCATGAGGCTGGACTTCTCTCTGTAATATTATAAGGATGTACTTCTCTATAACGTGACATTATATATTGACTGTAAAATATTTTACTAAATGTGTTAGCCAGCATATCACAGTGTTTGTTTGCTTGTATTTCCTGTTAGCTATGACCCCAGCAGTGTGCAGTTCCTAGACCCTTCCAAAAGCACTCTGGGATACAGTAAAACGTGACAACAGATTCAAGCACTAGGCTGCCCACTTTGGCCCTGGGGACCTTCAAAAGGCAAGCCCCTCCCAGAGCCTGCACCAATTCCTACATGCTCCTGCACGCCTTTGTTGCAATGCCAGGCCCAGAAGGGACAATGACTGATTCAGTCGCTGTGTGAGACAGGACAGAGTAGACTGGATGGACTACTGCTCCGATCCAGCGGGGCTCTTCTGATGTTCAGAATAGCACAGCTACTCCCCACAGCCAGAAGAGGTGCCAAGACTAGAGTGGAGCAGCAGCAGTTGTGGCAGTCACCTGGAGGCTCCTGTTCAGAGCCCCTTGTTCTGCTTTGGCTTGTGTTGACTTTAACCTCGAGACCAGGCAAAAAGCTCAAAATAAGCCAGGAGACCAGCGGGAACGTGTTCCTACTTACCTGCATTACGCACAACCCTTGAAGCGCTGCCACCCGGCAGGGGGTCAACTGATTGCCGTTGTTGCCCAGTCCTAGCTGGCCGTTCCCGTTATAACCCCAGCCGTAGACCTGGAACAAGGAAACAGGATGGTTAATCTGTAGGCATTTCTCCTGCAGAAAAAAATAATGTACAGAAATAGAAGGGCTGCGGTTCGGAGAGAACAGAAGCCGATGAGAGCAGGAAAATGTCCCATAAAGAACGCCGGGGGCAGATGGACACCAGAGGGGACCTTGACCTAGTTGGCAACATTAAAGAGGTACTTTTCTTCCTTTCTCACAATACAAAAACTCGTGGGCACTCCATGAAATTGCTGAGCGGTCGGGTTAGAACGGATAAAAGGAAGTACTTCTTCACCCAAAGAGTGATTAACACTTGGAATTCACTGCCACAGGAAGTGGTGGGTGCTACAAGCATGGACGGCTTCAAAAGGGAATTAGATAAGCATATGGAGCAGAGGTCCATCAGTGGCTATTAGCCACAAGGTATAGATAGGGGCTCTGGGGCAAGTGATGCTCTGTCTTCTTGGTGCTTGGGGGGGGGGGGCAACAGTGGGAGGGCTTCTAATGTCCTGGCCCCACTGGTGGACCTCCTGATGGCACCTGGTATTTCTGGCCACTGTGTGACACAGAGTGTTGGGCTGGATGAGCCTTTGGCCTGATCCAACATTGGCGTCTCTTATGTTCTTATGTTATTAACCAGTGCTTTCCTCCTGGTCCACCCTAGACTGTCCTAAAACTCTGGTCTGCTTAAAATGTAAGGCATAGAGATTCCTGGCATGATTTTGCACGGGCTGGATGTCCTTCAACTGTGCAACAGCGAGGACGGCTCAGTTTGCACATTAGCACAACATCCCCAAAGGCTCTGGGGCTCTGGCAGGGCCACCCCCCCCCATTTTGCAGGGGCTGCAGCGTGGCTAAAGTGAGACCCTGACCTGGTGCACAGCCTCCAAGAGAACCTCTCTGCCTCACCGGCCTTACTTTTCATTGGGAAAAATAAAATAAGCTCACTGAAGAAACCACTGTTCTATGACTTTAACACACTTGGTTGTACTTTTTATAATATTTATAATGCAAATTTCTTATGTTACACAACAATCATCCTTCTGTAAAGTGTACATGCCATAAACATAGGTAAAGCCAGCAGATAATTATGTGAGTACAATACAAATATTCTTGACACTGTTTTGGCTATATTCCTGGAATGTTTTCTCTTCAAGGCGTCTCGACAGAGCTAGGAAGTGGAAAAGGAGACTAAAAAGCCTTCATTTTTCAAGCTTCTAAACAGCATTTATCACTCCTCCGTTTAAAAGCATGTGAATCCAAGGAATACAAGAGATTATCTCTTTATCTCTTATAAATATTATAAAAAGTACAACCAAGTGTGTTAAAGTCATAGAACAGCGGTCTTCTTCGGTGAGCTTATTTTATTTTTCCCATTGTATTCACACTGAAGCCTGTCTTGTTTTTGTTACTTTTAATTGTTTAATTTAATTCAATTGTTAATCACGCTGCAGAAGAGAGACCTAATTGCCTGTATCCTGGCAAAAGAAAAAGACACTACTGGAAGTCTATATTCAGCAGCATCCAGATATGGCTTGCAATGGCTCAATCACTGCCTGTCAACGTCTCCTGAAACCCTTGGAGTGGACTGTCATAAGTTCCTCCTCACCCAATAAGTTCAAATGTTAACTTGGATATATGCGTATTTATCCTTGAGTTATCAAAACCTTACAGGGAGATTTCTGTTTAGCTCGTGCTGGGCAATGTTCACTTAGCTAGGATTGCAAATGCTTTTCTACAAATGCATCCACCTGCCCAGTTCTGGCTGGACTGGATACATGATATGGACAAACAGGTTGGCTTCTGTACAATGAGGGTCAAGGGAACAACCACCAAAAAATACTGATTCCCCGCTGGGGTTTCCTATTTCAGACTGACCAGGCTCCCTGCCATCTAAATCCTGAAGAATCTTTTATTCTGATGATTGTGTAGCTGTCCAAGCCTTCAAGCCATTCATAAATCCTCTTGCATTGTATGCTTCTAAACATTAAGCAAACAGTATATTTTCGAGAGTTGGACTATAAGGAAGGCCAAGCGCCGAATAATAGATTCTTTTGAACTATGGTGCTGGAGAAGACTCTTGAGAGTCCCTTGGACTGTAAGAAGATCAAATCAGTTAATTCTGTTCCCTGGAAGGCCAGATCCTGAAGCTCAAATACTTTGGCCACCAAATGAGAAGGGAGCACTCACTGGAGAAGACCCTGATGCTGGGAAAGATTGAAGGTCAAAGAAGACGGGGACGGCAAAGGATGAGATGGTTAGACAGTGTCATAGATGCAACAAACATGAAGTTGAGCAAACTTCAGAGGACGGCGGAAGACAGGAGGGCCTGGCGAGATCTTGTCCATGGGGTCGCAAAGAGTCGGACTCGACTGTGCGACTGAACAACAACAACAACAACATATTCTGCCTTGGGTCTGAAGCCCTTAAGCCAGTGCGGGCTAGGAACAGGCTGCGTGGTCAACTAAAAGTTGGTAAACTGGGGAATAATATCAGAACTAAAGAAAACCATTGACCTTAACAGCCAGGCAGGGGAAACCCTAGATTTGTGCAAAGTCACTGAGTTACGTAGTTATGCTTTAATCCTGCCTCAGCTGAGTGATGTACTTTAGCTTCTGTGCTCAACTTTTGAGAAGAGCGCCAAGCTGTGCTTTGCTACGATAATTATGCCTCTTGTCCTGTTATGAGATGTTGCACACAACCAGTGTGTTGTAAAGTGATGTGGTAAGAGTGTGCTTCAAAAGGGATTGGTACACAGGCAGAAGGATGATAAAAGGGGCAGAGAGGAAAAAAGAAGTGACATAATCGAGGAAAAGACCTGAGCAGGGGTTAAGCTGTCAGAGAGATGGAGCAGCACGCTTGACACCCGGCCACGCGACTAAGAGAGTTCTGTCTTGGTCTGACCAAACCCTGGAGATGTTGTGAGTAACCTCGCCGGCTACAACGTAGTGTGAAACTGGCCACTCTGGATAATGATCAGGTATGTTCTACAGATATTCTGTAAGGTGTGCTGTGAACACTCAAGTGTGCGCTGCGTCATCTGGTCTTGCTCTGGGAAGGGCCGTGGCTCAGCGGCTGAGCCACCTACTTAGTACGCAGAAGGTGCCAGGTTCAATCCCGGGCATCTCTAGATAAAAGAGTCCGGTGTCAATGTTAATGGGGTGTGTGTGTCAATCTGGCACCATGTAGGCTTATGTTTTATGATAGTCTATATTGATTGTTCTCATTTTTCTTTGTTTTAAACTGTTGTACACTGCTCTGAGCCCGCTCTGTGGGGAGGGCCGTATAGAAATTCAATGGAATAAAGAAATAAATGTGAAAGCCCTCTTCTGCCTGAGACTCTGGAAGGCCACTGCCCGTCTGTGGAGACCGTACTGACCCTTGATGGACCAGTGGTCTGATTCAGGATAAGGCAGCTTCATGCATCCATCTGTTCCAAGTTCCTTTTCTCCTATCGAGGACAAAAAGATGCCCAGAGCAGGGAAAGGTCTGCTGGGTTTCACCAAGACAGAATCAGCAATAGGCTGTATGGGAAAACTGAAACACAAACTGGCGACACGGTGGGTAACACTAGAGTAAACAATGCAACACCACGTAAAAAACAACGTGTTGTATTCTATATTGAGATCATTCTAACAGGCAGCATTCACATATAATCGTATGTTGCGCTCTGCAAGTAATATTGCAGTCTTAACTGTGCCTATTTAAAAACACATACATCAATGATGTCAGTATCTTTCTAACATGAAAGATTCTCAGGCACTTCGCTTAGAGTCACTTCAACAGGGTGTCACAATTTTTAACAACCATATTATATTTGAAAAGCTTTCTTTTTTGGAGTCTCCTTTGTGAAGAAATCATCAGAACAGTTTTTTCCCAGTGGTAAAACAAAAAGTCTTTATAGACTGCTTTTTTGTTGTTGTTCAGTCGCACAGTCGAGTCCGACTCTTCGCGACCCCATGGACCATATCCCGCCAGGCCTTCCTGTCTTCCGCCGTCCTCTGAAGCTTGCTCAATTTCATGTTCGTTGCATCTATGACACTGTCTAACCACCTCATCCTTTGCCGTCCCCGTCTTCTTTGACCTTCAATCTTTCCCAGCATCAGGGTCTTCTCCAGTGAGAGCTCCCTTCTCATTTGTTGGCCAAAGTGTTTGAGCTTCAGTTTCATTATCTGGCCTTCCAAAACTGCTTCATAGAGAGCCAACGAATAACTGCGGATGTTCTTCCGTTTCAACGTCCTCTTTCTCAAGAATCGCCATGTATGAACAACCATCAACATACATCATTCATTACTGATGCATATATCTTTAAATAGGCATAGTTAAGACCGCAATATTACTTGCAAGGCACAACAGATGGTTATATGTGAGTGTTACCTGTTAGAGTGATTTCAATGTAGAATACAACATGCTTTTTTTTACGCGGTGTTGCACTGTTTCCCATAGGACGGGAAAGCTGAGCAGGGTGCAGCAGGTCATCCTCAGCAGCATCCTGGGCGAAAACTTTGGAGGGCTGAGCACTGCACCGTAAGTGAGTGTGCATCTACTTCTGTACGGCTGCTGTCCCTCATGGGTTCCTGGCACATCTCCTGCATGCAGATTGTTCTCCACTTCAAGCATTTCTGGGGGCAGCAGAAGCAGAAAAGCCGCGGAGGGGCGCTTACCTCGCCGTTGTCTACGACCGCCATGGAGGAGGTCTGGCCGCAAGCAATGCTGACCACCACTTTGGTCTGCAGGCAGTTGGAGACTTTGCGGGGAGTCGGCTGGTTGGCGGTGGAGCCCGATCCCACTTGGCCGCAGTTGTTGTAGCCCCAGGCGTACACCTTTTCACAGAGGAAGAAGGTGAAAGAGCAGGCGATGGGACGTTCTGCTAGCCTACATAAAGATCCTGTTGTCTAGCGGTCCCCTTGGCTTTTGAGAGGATAGCTTCCAACACCTGCTTTCCAAGAAGGCCCAATGAAAACCACCACATTAAGGACACCCCCCTGAATTAAGGGTGGTGGACACTAAAGGGAAAGTATTTAGCAGAGGCTACTGCAGGGGCTGGAAACCAAAAGCCTTCACCGTGCTGCCCTGGAAACAACATTGGCCACCTGGACCTGCCAACAGCATCCCCAAAACCAGAAACCGCTGATAACCAAGCTCTGTCTGCCTGCACAGCCTCACCCCCAACATGCCTGTACAATGGAGACCAAGCCCAGAAGTTCTCTGCTATGCCTGTGGCTGGAAGGTAGAAGCTGGAGAAATAGGGTTGCCAGGTGCTTAGTGTCTGCTGGCGGGGGGCTCCAAGCTGCTCCCTGGGATCTCCCCGGAAGTGACATCATCACGCCGGGCACGTCATGCGGGGGACACTCTAGCATTTGACCAAAACCTCTATGGCCACCATAGAGTTTTTAGCCAAATGCTAGAGTGACCCCCGCGTGATGTGCCCAGCGCAGTGACACCATGCTGGCATGGTGGGGCTCTTCAGCGGTGAATTGGGGACTCTGAAATGGGGGGAAACCCCCCCCCTTGGGGGTATGGCAACACTATGGAGCAGCCTAGCTGATGCTAAGCAGGGCTAGGTTTGGGCAGTGTCACCTTGAGGTTCAAGGCACAAAGGAGGCATAAATATAATAAAGGAATGAGTGAAACAGTCTGGCAGGGGACAGAATGGGGAGACCCTGTTAGGTGGCTAAGAGCAGCTGGAAAAGATCTGGCTGAGTTTCTTCTCCACTGCTCACAGGTGCAGAAAACCTGGACGCCTCCTTGCCAGAGGTACAAGCCGGAGGGCAGGAGTCAAGGGGTCTTGTCCTTCATAGCTTAGCCTTCAGTCTGTGGTCTAGAGCTGGGAGGAAGACTTGTTTTGCACTCAGAAGCCTTTGCCCACCCTCCTGCCACTTGGTTCGCAAGGATAATTACACTTCCGTGCTACATAATGCTACGTATTAAAACTC